TCATATTCTGCAGATACATTGTTCTTAAGCCGATTTGTATCAGTTTTGAACTTCGCCGGGATTTGAAGATTCACAGGGAATTTATGCATCTTCTGAGTGAGAATCACTCCTTCAACTTATTGGTTCCATGGCAGATAATGGCTATCTTTGAGCTGCATTGAGAGCTTCAGACCATAGGTGTTGTTGGAGTTAGGATTGAAGAAACTCGAAGTAGAGTTGCGCGACAAATCTTGATTTGCAGTGTTGTTTGGTGAATTCGCCATGGATGACATTGAGGAATTTTAGGGTTTTTCTTCTCTTAGAGCAGAAAAAGGAAGAAGGAAAAGTGATAGAAATGTAGTTTGGATCTAAACCACTTCTTAGAGATTTTGATGATAACTTCACATGTTATCTTAGAGAACAATTATATACACTAATAGTTTTGTCTAGTGTGTAGCTGCTGCTATAATGTTCTGAATCTGGCACAAGGCGTGTGACATCATCAGGTTCTGAACATACACTCAAGAAGAAAGCATGTGGTTACATATTTTGGTAAAGTCAAGGTTCTGAACTGATCTTCTGCAACGTGTCTTAGGAACGTTAGTACAAGAATTTCTGATTGTGGCTTTGTGGTATAGATTTAGAGGCCTTCTAAAGCTTTACTTCTGCATTACAAGTTATGAATATTATGAAGACAAGATTATGCTGAACAAGTTCTGGTGATCTGAAGAAAAGGAAGGGTTTACAACCAAGTGTTGAAGACTCTGAAGAACAAGGTCCTATGTGACAAGTTCTGAAGACTCCAAGACTTAGGTTCTAAGGCTTATAAGAAATATTCTTCTACAACAAGCTTCAACGTTCAACGTTCAACATTCAAATATCTGAAGCCTCTGAAGAGAAGAAGAAAGTTCAAATGGTTAACGTGTGATATTGTGCAAAAGATACATAAACTGTATGTGACCTCTACCCTCTAGGGTGGCGTAAGGACATTCCTTTATATTGTATTGACAACCACTCTCATTGTGACCGTTTGGAACAAATAGGTGGATTTACAACTATCTTTCTTTACTTAACGGGTCTCTGTTAACAAGCTTAATAGAAAAATATTATTCAGAGGAAAAGGTGGAAAGCTATCATGAACAGTAACAGGATACAAAAATATTACTTGATACTGTCTAAACTCTTACACCTTATTCTATCTGTTGGAAACTAACTGCTGGAGCAGGAAAAGTATGTTTTATCCTTACAACATCTCTCTCTGTCAAGGTCTATAAAAGAAGATCAAAGCTTCAAAGATAAATTGCTGGTTAGCAGTTTAAACGTTGACATTGGCCAACAAGCTTCATCATGTGGAAGGAAAGCGAGTGGACTCTGAAGATGTTAAAGATGTAATGTTATATATACCGAAGACCACTAAAAGAAGAGAGAAAAGAAAGAAATAAAATATCAACAAGATGCCATTCAACTATCATCATATGCATCTTGGATGAAACAGAAGAAGCAAGGAGTTGTTGCTCGTAGTTTGCTCAACAAGAAGATGAAGAAGAACACTACAAGATGAAACACAACGTCTGATTATATACATCTTTGTAGAATATTGTAATGAACACTAGATTTATTGCTCGAATAGTGTTTCAGTTCATATATCTTCATGTTAATTGTTTTAACACTTGAGTTGTTTCTCCTAGAAGTATTAACAATATGCGCTTAAATGTTTTGTGTAATCAGCTTAGAAGAAGCAACCATGTAAACACAGAAACCTCATCAATTATTGTTATTAGTTCCTTGAGGGACTAAGTGAAGGTCTGATCTCAAGAAGATAATGACTGCTTGTCATTATGGGAAATCCTGATAGGAGGTTCTGCGGGATTGTATTCTATTGGGTCAATGATTGTTATATCCGATTGGATCACTGAACATATCAATGCAAGCTTCCTTGAGAGACTGAGTGAAGGTCCGATCTCAAGAAGATAATGGTTGTTGGTCATGATGGGAAATCCTGATAGGAGATTCTGAGGAATCAGATTCTGTTGGGTCAATGGTAGTCATATCTAAAAGAGGACCGAGTGAAGGTCAGACTCTTGTGAGATCCCTGATGGATATCATTGTAAGGAAATCATGGTAGAAGATCTTGAGGGATCAAATTCTATTGGGTCAATGATTGTTATATCCGGTTGGATCCCTGAACGTGTCAATGTGTGTTAGTCACCAACGGTTTCCCGTGCGATTGTAATCAGTTTGGTTATAGTAGATTAAGTCCTTAGATAAGGCGAAATCATCCTTGGAAGGGTGGAAAGGAATAGTCTAGTTAACGGCAAACCTGGATAAAATACTTATGTCCTTTATCTTCATTGTCTTTATTGGTATTATCATTTGAGTGCTTAGAATTTTAATGAGGAATATTTTCTATGAACACAATTCAAACCCCTCTTTCTTGTGTTGCCTCTTCTGCTTCTGATGCATCTTCTTTAAGCGGTTCTAATTCTTCTTTCACAAGATCCCAAAGATCTTGACAATAGAATACAACCTTCATCTGCTTGCATCAATTCTCATAGTTATCAACTTTCAGAATTGGAAGGCTTGCTGGAAACTGCCCATTCGGATAATTCATTGTCATTGTAATTTTCTTGCCATTAATCGCACAACCTGAACTCTTGATACCAGATATTGGAAATCCACCAAAACCTATGGAGAATTCCTATCAATCTTGATGAACAAGATTGTTATCAATACACAATAACAATGAAAGAAAAATTAGGATTTGACGAAATTGGGTAAGAAGATGATGATTTTCTGCAGAGTTTCTCTTTATCCATAAAATCTGGAAAAATCTTATTCACTTTACAACTGCAAAATTCTGTGAATACAAGTTGTTTACATTATAGGGATTTCTCCCTATTTATAATGAGCTTGATTGCTCCATAAGCCAAAACACGCAAATACAAAAAGTCCAAAATACCTATTTAGACCTAAGTCAAAATAGTGTGTGAAACAATCTACTTTGATACTTCAACATCTAATACTGCTCGACACACACTATAGACTAATTCAACATACCATTATATCTATCGAACAATAAGTTATTTCGACAAAAAAATTACTATCTCAACATTTAATATGTATACCATAATTAGTTTTATAATCATATACATTACTCCTAATTAGTTTTCTAAAATTAATTACAAAAAATATGTTAAAAAGATAATAGACATAATGTCAAAATTTGCCATCGCACCAAACTCCTAATGAAAAAGATGTCCAATTCTCCTTTTGTCACTGAAATTCCAATTGTAAAAGGTGTCCATCTTTCACCCCTGTCAGAAGGCCATCAAGTTTCCTTCTAGACAGAAAAAAAGAATTTAATGCTCACCATCAGGGTGGATTTGGATCGTGTCAGGGCTGCCACTCATACAAACAATAGATTTGCATAAGTAACTCTGATGTCCCTCACATCTAACATTAATCTTAAAAAGATGTTATTTTGAAGTACAAATATCTCAAATTTGACACCAACACTTACACCACGATATTATTAATAATAATTTAAAAAATAAATGAATTAAATATAATTATAAAAAAAACAAATAAATAAAATATAATTATAAATATTAATATAAATATTTGATACCGATACATACACGATAATATTAGTAATAATTTAAAAAATAAATGAATTAAATGTAATTATAAAAAAAATTAATAAATTAAATATAATTATAAATATTGATATAAATGTTTGATACCAACCCACACGTCTTTTGTTGGAGAATATGAGGAAATCAGTAGTATCAATAGGACAAATACTCTAGGACCACAAAAGAGAAAGAAAATATATATCCAAAATTTTAAGATATTAGATAAATGAGTCTCCTCTCTTATAAATCTAATATTTCATCTATTTATAAATAATATAAAACTTTACCCCTCTCACACTTATACTCGACAGTGAAGTATATTCTTAAATGTAAAATTGAAATATGTTTATGGACTACACCAATAAACTAAAATGTATTTCAAATTGTAAAATTTGAACGCATTTGCACATTCAAAGTTTAGATAATGAGTACCTAAAAAACACATCCCAAATTTTAAAATTCAAAATACATTTTTGACAATTGAAGGAGTTTCTAAATTATTTAAAAAAGAATGAGATTTTCACTATAAATTACACGAATTCACTTTACTGCAATCACTCCGTTCCTGTATTCACGTAATCAAACTTTTCAATTTGTCTAAAAAAATCAAACGGTTTTGATTTAAAACTAATATTTTTAAATTATAATATAATAATAATAAACTTTTATTGTTTATGAACCGTGTGATTATGATCAAACGTTATACAAGTAGTGACTGTATGAATGCGTAAAAAACATTGACTCCATATATTCCGTTCGTTAGACTATTAATTATCTTTGATGCAGGGGCGGATCTACCCATCAATTAAACGAGAGGTCAGAAAAATTTCATCAGCTTAAAAGTTTTCATTGTAATAATTAAACCTATACTTATAAAATATATCTAATATAAATATATAAACTTTAAAGTATGTAATAATGATATTATTAACATTTTGATTAAAATTTTTAATTTTATTAATTGTAAAGGTAAATTAGGTTTTTAAACTATTCTTATAATTATATTATTTTGACATTTAATACTGTTAATGTGTCAACACAATATATTTTTATAATATTTTTTATTTTTTTAAATCACTAATCACTAATTAATCCTAAAAAAACTGTCAATAATTATTGGTTATTGGAACCGATTCGTTTCATTGAGAGTGCATATTCCAATTATTTCAATATACACTCTACACAACAATAAAAAATTAATAGTCCACTTTGAATATACAAAAAATTCTAACTTCCGATACTGTACAATTAATTCATGGCTTTTCAAGTTTTCAAACCCTTATTCAAACCATTTCAAGTTCAGCTCGCACAGATAAATTTCCTCCATTATTGTAATTACTAAGAACCAATGCATCAAGTAGAAGCATAAAATCAAAATCAAGCCCCATGTTCGTTCTCTGGAAGAAAAACAACAACAATACCATTGAAGCAACTCAAGAACCTTCTTCCCCTAAACGCTTTACTATTAACCCGATGCAGATCCGCTTCATACAGATCTACTTCTCTTGCGAGTAGGTTTTGGAGTTCTCCTTTGAGGAACGAAGAAACGAAGTCTACTTCCAATAACAAGAAATCAAGTTCACAATCACTGAAGTTAGTCACAATTGCATCATTTAGAGGAGTTTTATCCCGTAGAGGAGTAATTGATGTTGGGCATGAAGTTGTTGGAAAGGGTTGCCCTAATCTGAAAAGTGCACACCTTCATAAGTGTGAGATTCTCTCAGACAACATGTTGTTTTCATTCACTAAAGTTGATATATCACTTGAAAATAAATTGACTATTATATACATGTATTGCCTCATTTGAAGTGTATTATACAACTAAATCGAATAAATTCGATCTTCTGCCAATCTCAAATATACTCAATTACTTAATAATTTCTGACAAATGTGTTGTGGATTTCTTGTATTTACTTAGTTATTTACAGGAAACTGTCTGGTGTTGTTGTTCAGAAGTTTGAATGTGAGAAATATTTGCTGGACATTTAATGATTTTTTGTTAGTTTATCAGACAATGAAAAGGAGAGGGATGTTAAACTTCTGAAAATAAAAATTGAATATATAAACTCACGTGCCTTCACATAGGATAGTGAAGTTGATCTCAAGTATGCCCACCATTTTTCTATATAACTTATTCCGGAGAGCTCATGAAAATGTCTTATGAACATATCATAAGCTTTCTCAAACAGATTCACAAATGGTTATGTTGATAGATAAGTTCATATAAGCCAATTCAAACTATGTGTTTGTTATTATTACCCATGTTTGATTTTGGTCTATTGAAGTCGTAGAGTTTTCGTGTTTTCTTTTCCTGATTTATTAAAACAACTAATGATACTTTTGTTGATAACACAGGTTAATTCAATGTGTTAATTTGTAGGTGTTGATGGGGGATTTAATAAAACCTCTTCAAATAGGCTTTATTCTTAAAAATATGTGGTGGGAATTACTACAACTGATTTCTTTACCCCTAAGCAGTCTTCCATTAAGAATGCAAAGCACCTGAAGAATGAGTGACGACGAATCCAATCCAAACACTGCTGTAAATCAGATAATATTTGTGTATTCTTGATATAACCTCATCTGATGTAAGGATTTAATCCAAACATAGATTGTCCTATTATAAAAGATTATATATATGGTCCTTTTGTGTAAGAAGTTACCCAAACAATTATTTTGTCATACTCTTGAGGTGTTTTGCTAAGATTTGTACTGATTAAGTATTAATGACGATTATAGTTCATAGTCATGTTATATGGGTTTCATGCTATTTTGATTAAATGTCATAGTAAAACATTTATTTCATGTTATCAAGTCAATACATGTTTATGTCAAGAACTTGATATTATCGTCAACTTCTAAATAGCAGTCTTCTGTATAACTAATAGAGCCCTTTGTAAGAATATGCATTATGTCATCAAATGATCATCTCTCATCAAATGTATGGCAACTTCATGAATATAGTTTGCTAGGCATGCCAACTTCATGTATATGTGTTATGAATATTTAAACTGATTACAACGTTGAGATTGTATTATCATCATTAAATTATTTCCTATTTATAAGAAATAGTAACAAGTTAGCTCAAATATGAATTTATACATACTTTTTACACCTTATAAGAAGTTTATAATCCAACCTCATGTTTGTTTGTTACATGAATTAAGTAGTAAAAACTTAACTAATATAGTCTTTCATCTTATTATGCTTAAACAAGGATGTTGACATCTTTCTATATCATATTCCATCATGCTTAAACAAAGATCTTAATTGATTTTCATTTATTAGATTTCTCTTGAATCTTGACTATTTTTATCACACTTACAATGATTTACCATACATATATCTTGCCATTTGCTTTGTCTAAATTGGGATTGCGATTGACTACCTTGAAACTTGATCTGACCTGATCAGAAGGTTTGGACCGTCACGGCTTACTCCGAGCTGAAGGCTTTTTGAACGAGGAGGGGGGGAGTACCTGCAAGGCACTCCGATGCTTAAGTCAGTGGGAGTACTAGCAGATAATAGAGTTGAGGTTAGAATGATCAATACCTGACCCTCTGGAAGCAGAGGGTATTTATAGCCCCCAGCGCTGGGCCAAGGTTCCTTCATTGGGCCGGGCGGATTTGGCCCAATGGAGGAACTGCCAGGTTCTACGTGGGTAGTGGGGACCAGCACGTGGTCCCCTTCCTGGATATGCTGCATGAAATACGGGCGGACGGAGACGCGGTCTTTCCGGAGTATCGTTGGGGCAAGGGTGACTGAGTCTGCCCTAGCAAGGTAGCTCGAGTCCATGTCGAGCTGCGCAGCACGGTGCCGAGCTCGACGCCAAGACCTCGAGCTGGTCAGCGAGTGTCGAGCTGGAAGCCAGGATATGGAGTTGGACGGCAATCTGTCGAGCATGACTTCGTCGCGTAGGACTAGACACCGAGATGTCGAGGTGGACATCAGGGTGTCGGGCATGAACGTGACCCCCTTTGCCCAGTGTGTCCTTAGTGAGTCCCTTTGGACTGGGCCTTAGTAATGCTTTTGGGCCTGTCGGGCCCAGTCCAGAACAGGAGCCCCCCAAGTCGTGATTCCTTTGCGAGGAGTCATGACTTGAAACCAAGTCGTTCCGTTGCTGAGGTCTTGTGCCCGGAATGGAGGCGTGGGCCCTCGAGGGCCTCCTCGTGTCGTGCTCGGGAGCGTCCTCGGTGGTGGATGCGTGGAGGATCCGTACCGGGCGCGTTGGTCGAGCACGCGAGGCATCTTTTGGGAGCTGTGCCGCCACCCTAGGGGGGTAGGGCCATCATTGCGTTGGGAGCAGCGCGTCGAGGAGAAGGAGTTCGTGGTCGAACGAGGTGACGTTTGGTATTCCACGTCATCACTATAAATAGGGTCCTTGGGCCCCATAATACGTTTTCCGTTTTCCTTGCTCTCTCCGTTGCAACTCTCAATACTCTCTCCAACCGTGACTTCCCGTCTCAGATTCTTCATTTCTTAGCCAAATCCCAACTTTGATCCAAGTAAGTGATCCATTTTCTTTATTTTCCTGTTTTAGAATGCATGATTCTTGGAAATTGTAGATGTTTTAGGACCGTTAATGTGGGATTAGCCCGGTAAACTCGTGTTTTGCCCGACAGATTCATGTCTAGGACCGGTGAACGCATACTTGTGGCCGACATATTCATAGTTTTAGGTGAAGAACTTCAGAGCTGCCCGGGGTCTTCATGATCCTGGGCGCCTGATCCATGCCGGTGCCCGGTATGTTTATGGTCGTGGCCGTGGGCTTCATAATGCGGCTCGCCATGTTCATACCTCGGATCGACATGCTTGAAGAGTGGCCGCGCAGTTGGTTTGTGGAGGAACACTGGATTCAGGAGAGTCGGGGAGGCATCCACTTGTGAAAATGGACTTGTGTGGTAGTGTATGGACGACATGATTATGTCGAGCATAGGACTTCATGCTCAATCTGATTGGTTTCCCGTGCTCTGCAGGTAACCATGGCGGATGAGCCGAGCTCCTCCGGTCGCCGTGACAGCGAAGAACAGAGTGCCGACGAGTCGGCCAACCTTATAGACACAGTGACCGACCCATCGCTGGAATGGGTGGGCGCCGAGCCTCGGGGAACGGCGTCGATTTACAGTCGGGATGACCGACATCCGTTCATCGCTATCGAAGAGGGGCAGGACCAGCCCGACTTTCAACCGAATTTCGAGGTCATGCTGCCGTCGACCAACGCCAGAATTTGTTCGATGTACCCGGACTACAGCTTTGCGATGTACGAGATCGCATTTAAAGACTTGGGGTTGCGGCTGCCTTTCACAGACTTTGAGACCGGGGTTTTTACGCATTTGGAGCTGGCCCCGTCCCAGCTACACCCAAACTCTCTCGCCTTCATCCGGGCGTTTGAGCTGACGTGTCGCTATTTAAGGATAGGGGCGACCATCCCTCTCTTCTTCAGGGTCTTCCACCTACAGCGTCAGTCCCGAGGAGGGAAGCACAGCTGGGTGTCCCTGAAGCAGTCGAGGAGACTGTTTAGGATGTACATGGACTCTGTGAGGGGGTTCAAGGATAAGTGGTATGTGGTACGCCCTACTACCGACTCTGCTGTGGATTCCCTCTTCGAGGAGGAAGGGCCGGTCAGCGATGATGACGGGGAAGCAATGTTGACCGATGACGGGAGCCCCGTGTTAGGACGTCGGGCTAAGTTCCCGGTGTACTGGATGTCCCGACACTTCCAGCATGGAACCGGCTATTTCCACACCGCAGTCGGGGACATGTGCACGGAGGATCAGCGGGCGTATGAGGCTCTCTGTAACTTTGTCGACAGTTTTCATCCCGCCCAATGGGTTACGCGGGAAGGGAATGATATCCTCGACAAGGACGGTTACCCGACATTCGAGGCTCGCCCGATCGACACCAAGGCGTTGGTGGAATGTTCAACATACAGGCAGGCAGCCCGCCTGTTAGGTTGTTTGTTTGAAATTCTTTACTCGTCATTTATTTACGCGTTTTGCTCGATACTGACTTTTCTTTTACTTCGTGCAGGTACGATGGCCAGCCGACATGAGAGGCTCCTGAAATTGTCAACCGGCCAGAGGCGAAACAAGAAGGTCGTGCCTGCCCCGCAATTGACGAGAATGGGACCACCGCCAAGCACGAACGTTCCTCAGCCGGTGAGGGTGGATTCGACGTCGAGCTCGGGAGCAGCATCGGATCCAGAGGTCGAGGAGATTGATGCCAGTGCCATTTTGACCCAGAGGAAAAGGACCCGCGTGGAAGGCGGTTCGAATGTCGGGGAAGATACTGGTCCTGTTCAATCCTTTGCCTTCCCCCCCTGCTTCGAGGAGGAGGGCTTTTTCGAGCGGTTCCCTCCGACCGTGGTCGTTCATGAAGCCGAGGCTATAAAGAGGATGACTAAGGAGGAGAGGAAGTCGCGGCTGGTCGCCAGCGTGGACGGGCTGGTTAAAATGGCCGAAATGGCTCTGGTATTGTCTGAGGATGCAGGGGATGCTGCTCGTGTTGAAGAGCTCGAGCGGGAGAAGGCGGCCTTGACGGCGAGCTCAAGGAAGTTGAAGGTCGCTCTGGAACGCTCCGAGGGGATGTTCCAAGAGCAGACCGCGATACTTGACGCCGAGAGGGAGATGCTGACCTTGGAAAAGGAGAAGTCGGGGCGGTTGACCGAGGAAGGGGAGTTGCTCTGGACCGACAGGGATCGTTTGGCTGCTGAAGTCGAACGCCTGGGCAAGCAGGTTGAGGAACTGAATGCTGTTCAGCAACCCGCCGAAGATGAACCCGAGGACCTGATGGTTTTGAAGAGTCGGGCTGAGCTTATTGCCCATATCCGGAACCTCGAGGAGGACGCAGTCGGTGCCCTGGAAGACGGGTTCAATTCTGCAGTCGACCAGCTCTCATTGCTAAATCCCGGCCTGGTCACCGAGGGCATCGGGCACACCCATCGGGTTGTCGGTGGCGCGATCATTCCCCCGCCCGACTCTCCCGGCGTCGACAATGATGATAATGTGGAAGTTTGATTTGTATTCTTTGGATAGCGGGCCTGCGTGCCCTTGATATTTGAATTTGTATTCTTTGGGCCTGCGTGCCCGTTTATTTCATGTATGAACATCGCCGGCCTTCTTGGTCGGTTTAATATTACTTTGTTGCCTTCGGGCGTTTATACCTTGTTTATTTTGTTTTCTGCCCTTGTATGAACTCACATGCTTGTATGAATTTAGCTCAAGTCCCGGGCCCGAGGAGTGCCCGTAGGTGGCTCTGATTTGGCGAGCGACTATGCTCGTCACAATTTGTGTGCAATCTCGGCCCTATTTTGGTTGGCCGGGGTTGCTTAAGTGCTGCGCTCGAGGGGAGAGATTTTCTT